ATACATTTGAAATTTTCTCAGGTTGTTTTACCCACCAGGGTTTGCTGTGATTTTCAGGATAATTTAAAGATAAGGCAGCAGGTCAGAACATGAAACGTTAAACAGGTTAACAATGAAATGGCAGAATACTTCTTTTTTCCCCCGTAAACAAAAGAAGACAGCCACATACATGTACACGTACATGCACATACGTGGCAAATAATAAAGTGCTGCTTTCTCTGAAGTCCTTAAAAATACAGGCCTGGAATACATAGAAAACCTTTAGTTTTTCAGAATCTTTTCTGAATGGAAAGAGAGCTTTATCTGACACTTTGCACAAGACGAAAATAATTTTAGGTATCAGGGATGGAAAAGAACTTGCAGACCATGTCTCTCACAGAACAGACCAAACAAACCACCGAATAAGTAGCATAGTTTTTGTTTCAAGTGCAGGCGCAGATACAGCAGTTTCACCTTCTGATTCTATTACCAACACTAATCTCAAAGTCCCTTTTGCAAAAATGTTCCTTATGTGAACACCTCTTTAATAAACTCTCACCCAGTAAGGGGATGAGAACATCAAAGGATCTTCTGGACTGGGATTCTGGAAAGATTACTTTTGAAGCACAGTGCTTTTGGTAAAAATACTAGAAAGAGCTAAATAGTAATGATGTTATTAAATGATGTTATTATATAAATTCCTTTCATTTGATTTTCAACCCAGACTGCCACAGATGGAAAGAAAGTTGGCTAAACGTGCCGCTATACTTGTGATACTAACCAATTACTCAGGAAGGAAGACATGGACCAGCAAATACAAGCGTTCAGCACAGTTCTCTGATGTGGCAAGTCAGGAGAAATGACCAGGAAATGGATGCTGAGGCCTTTGGAATGACAGAGGGTCACATTCGAGAGTCCATCCTATATTGGGCCTTCCTGTGGAACTGCTGACCACATGCTCCCTTGGCTGTGAGCGTTAAGACTTCACAGGAAGCTAATGATAACAAGGAAGTAAGGAAGATTTAACTGTCAGAAAATAGGCAGAGCAGTGCTGTTAAGAGGGTACAGAGCTCACGAAATAGCACAGCTTAAATAGCACAGCTTAAAAGGGAGAGGACAGTTTCTCCGAACAGGAAACCAATAAACAGTTTGTTTTCTTCAAAGGAGATAGAACAAGACAAAAGCAGGAAGTGCTGTCCTTCCTTCATCCTGCCAGATTTTCAATGGCAAGTCAAGTGTGTGCATCAATCACAATAAGGGAGAAGAGACCAAAATGATACCACCTTCAATTTTTTGAAAGAAAAATACAAAGATGTATCACGTCGCACACTCTTCTTTATTCTGTGCTTTCAAACAGTCCAGTGCCACACTCTGAGTATTTCCCACTGAAATAGCCCATGAATGCCAAATATGACCTCTTTATAAACTTCCTGCAGAGTTCCTGCTGTTTAGCGTTCAAGACAGGTATTTGGGCTGGAAAAATAATATTATTCCACATTTCTCCAAAACAAAGATTCTGGGTCCACATTACTTCAGTGCTTGTTAGCCTCAAAGGCCCTTGCTTTGCTGTGGTTACAAAGAATATTCCACATATTTGAACAGTTAGAAGTCAAATATTTTTCAAAGAGACTGTTTGCCAGAGAATTCTAAGAGAATGGACACTAACCACATGCCCTCCAAATTTTGTATAACAAAGAAAATGATGAGAACAAAGAATTTATTTTCACTTATAATCTCATAGTCACACAATTAATTTAATATGCTCCCTGGTGGGCTTGGCCTATGATATCACTTTCTGGGATAGAAATCCAATTTCACTAAATTATATTAAATGAGAGTGAAATAATATATACAGACTGCCTGGCTTGGAAATTTGGTGGGTTACACAAATTTTGTCTGTAATTCTGTATTTTGGATACCAGAATACATATTAAAATAATGAAAAAGAAAACAATCAAGGTTCAAAATAGTGGTTAATCCCAGGTAAACCTGCATAAATCTATTTACCCCATAATACCTATACAGTATTGTGTTTACAATACCACAGAAGTGGTAATGTACTAGAAGAAACAAGTATAGCTAACATATTTAGTACTTACAATTGACCAGAAGCAACACTTAGAGCTTTGCATGCATCATCTCTTTTAACTGTCACAGAAATCTAACGATACAGATGAGGACTGAGCCTCAGAATGATTTTGTGATCTGCTCTGGATCACACAGTAGGTAGTAAGGACAGAAGTTGAGCTTCAGAGACAATAGTAAATACTAAGAAACCTAGGCATCTAGTTCCTGCTGACTGTGGGCCCATGGACACATGGCCCACGGTTACTCAACCACCCTGAGCCTCTGTTTTCTCAGCTACAAAAGTAGAGCTGGACTCACAGATTCTTTCAGCTCCCTTTAGTCCAAAACTTCTATTATTCCATTTGCTAACTTCTAGATGTAATTGTCTTTGACTAAAAATGCTTCCAGAGTTTCAAACTTGAATAAGATCAGCATCCCTTTCCCCCTTTCTGGGGGCAGGGGTGGGAGTTGGTGGGGATAAGGGGGGCTGGGAGAGCTTATAGGAAGAAGGAATTAGCTGTGCAGTTGGGAATTCTAGAGGACATATGGAAAAGGGGTATAACTAACTGTTAGATGGGGAACGAGGGACTCGTGAGTGTTGGAGTTCCTAGCTGGAGCTCTGCTATTGGGTTCCTCCGCATGCCTAGGGGCTGCCTGGAATATTTCTCTCTATGTGCAGGATTTTACTCCTCCCAGGACCACAGTTCAAAAGAATACACAATCAAAACTTCTTTCTTAGTTCTCCTATCCCTGAAACAAGTACATAGTCCTACTGAGGTTTTCTAACCACTTTTATCACCAGCAACCAATGAATTAAATAAGAAGTGTAAGGGCTTCCTGCTATATATCCATGCTGCCCCCTTTTGCGTTGTTTCTTTTCACTTTGACCCTTGTAGAGAAAGACCAACATCTTTGGATAAATAAAAGATTGAGGGAAAGAATCCAACTGAATTTAGAGAAAAAAAATCTAGACTTCGAGTTTTGACAGCATTTCTCTTTAGGAAGAGTCGGGAGCTTCAGTGAGGAGATGAGGCCGTAACTCAAGGTTCTGCCTTCCAAAGCGCTGAGCGTGGAGGAGTCCACTAGCGGAAAGGAGGTGGGGAGTGCATCTCCCCTTTCCTATTTTACCATGGATCTTCTCAAAGCATAAAAGAGGACAAGAGGAAAAATGGATAAGATGATGGGAAAGATGACGAAGGATCGAAAGGAAACTCCATGGTACAGAAACATGGAAGGAAGGGGTTCCTTTGGCCAGTACTAAGGAGGGTTAATATATAAGAGAGGAGGTTCAGGAAGGCTGTATATTCAAATATGGATATAAACACATGTAACAGAATATTAGACCCAGAGTAGGTATCTTAGAGGTTATCTAGTCTTATCACCTTACCAACAGGAGAACTGTTTCTGGAGCATCTTTGACAGATGGTGAGGCAGGTTCTGTTTCAGTATGCTAAAGAACCTGTTTCCATCTTGGACAGCTTCAACAGTTAGAAAGTGCTTGTAACATTATCACTCCCAACTATTTGTCTTGGAACAGGCTCACATAGGACAGGAAATTAGTCTTAATTATTTTTGTATCCCCAGAACCTCCAAGTTAGTGCACAGCGCATGCTCAGTAACTTGTTTGTTGGATTAATGCATAAATAAATTAATGGATATAAACTATCTGAAGAAACAGACTAAAATTTACTTTCCAATCCATACAATAACTCTTTATATATGTGATAGCAATTATCAGTACTAAACTTTTTTTTTCAAGTTAACTATACTCAATTTTCCCAACACTCACTATTCTGATGATCTAACTCGGGGTACCTATCATATTACCCATATGTGCCTTTGTCATTTCTTATATAGATTCAAAGGAAATAAAAAACAAAGGGTAATTAGAAGTCCTTTGACCACATCTATTCTACTTTATTATTAGCCATAAAAGTCCTTTGAAGTTTCTAAAGCCTCCTTAAATATTTCAATAATAAATATTATGTGTTCATTGTAAAAAAAAAAAAAAAGAGAAAATAAAAATCTCTCATAATCCCAACAATCTGAGTGCATCTCCTTCCAGCTTTTTAGAAAAGATTTTTAATGTAATTTGTCATACTGCATATGTCATTTTATACCCAACTTTTTACTTAATAATATCCTATGAACATTTCTCATATTATTATTAATTCCTCACAGAGACCATTTTAAGTACTTACTATATTTCATTGGAAAGCAATCCAGTTACTTATTTAACCAGTACCTTCTTGTTGTACCATGCCCAATATATCACTATAATAAATAGGACAGGAGAAAAAAATCAATATAGAAGAATTTTTTCCACATCTTTGATGATCAGTTTAGGACAAATTGCTAAAAGTATAGTTACTAGGTCAAAGGGTACACTTTTTTTTTTTTTAAAGGGTACACATTTTTAATAAGACTTGAAATTCTCTTTCTTGAGATGCCTTTCCTAGCCTTCAATACTAGGTTAAATTCCCTTGTTATATATTACTGTAGCACTCCACAGTTTGCTTTCATAATCTTCATCACCGTTTTAAATACTTGATTATATTTTAATTTCCCTTTGACTGCTAACTGCACTAAGGTAGGGCCATGAACATTTCTGCTGGTTGTGTTTTGCACAGGGCCTAGCCCATAGCACATATTCAATGTGCATTTTATTTTATCAAATACGGTTAAATTGCCTCCTTGAAGGGTGTTTGAATTCGTACACTTCAAGCACTGTTTGCAGTTACCTACCTCACTGCATCATTACATCATCATCACTAAAACAGTGATACCCCAAATAGGGGCAAAACACTGTAAGAGTGATTCACTTCTTTTTTTTTTTTTTTTTTTTTTAACAAATGAAGCCCATGACTTAGAACTCATTTCTCAGCTATTATGAATTTACTGAGTGTATTATGTTCTGTATTGAAAATTCAGTAAGGCTGTGATCTGAACATTACCAGCTCTCGGGGCAGAAAAGTTCCTTCCTGGCGGGCGATGACCAGTGATGCGGTCTCTCCCTGCTTGGTGCTCCTCAGCATGGCCACGAGCTCTTCCTGAGTTCGTCCAGTGACATCTCTGCCATTTACCTAATGCAGGCAACCGTATGAGCAGTCACAATTAAAACACTTGCCATCCCCTTCTGCCCTAGATGGTTTTTGAAAGCAAGCAGCAAATGGGCTCCCATGATCAATGAAGCTCTGGAAAGATGAAAACTGAATACATGAGCCCAAACCAACTATGTTTATGATGCTAGCAATATACCAACCATCATTATTGTGGTGCTGGACAGTCTCAGACATTCAGTAATTGGCATCAGCAGTTTTCCCTAAGACATCACATTCTTAGCAAGGACAAATCAAACTGACAGATACCAGAGAATGATTCCTCAAGTAGGAAGGAAGCTGATTTCAAATGCTTAGCTGTTACCATTCTCTGCCGAATACAAACAGGAGAAATGGACCGTTATCACACAGTAAATTCTTGAGGCGTAAGTTTTTTTGTTATTATTCTACAATTTTCCATGTTTAGAAAATGATAGTCATCAGGTTACCATAGATTATTGGAGATTGTAATTTGGAGCTACATTAGTCATTTGGCCCATTTTCTATCATGATCTAGAACTATATAAAAAGCTATAGTGCTACTTCCATGCCATGAGAAAGTTCAATGGAACCAGCCAGTTTCAACGAATATGATTTCTTGAAAGGTAAATTGACAGTATATATTTAGCCAAGAAGATGATGCTATCAAACAAAAAAAAACGACAAAAAAAAAAAAAAGCCTCTTGCTTTGGGTATTCCAAATACTTCTCTATATGCATAGACCAACCTGAGACAGGCTGACCCACTCTTGGAGAAGTTTAAGCAAACAGTTACAAGGGCTTGGGTGCAACTTTGAAATCCTTAGCCCTAACTGAATATATGATGAACTCGTGGATTTGACCCAAATTCCCCAGGGACTCTAAGAGGCAGAAGTAAGAAAGAGGAGATAGGGAAAACTTTTCAATATTATTTGGCCTCATATCATTGTCCTTATTGAGGACTTACAAAGATAGGCTATTTATTAACCAGTTTTCTAATTAAAGTCCTTATCTTGTCTATAAGTACAGTTTTCAACATACTGAATTCAAAATTTAATACATTTTATATACTTATTTCAAACACCAAGAAAGATTTTATTGACGATATGCATTCTAATTCTTACCTCCAAAATTCTGTCCCCTGATTGTAGGCGGCCATCTTTTATTGCTGCTCCCTTTGGTAAAATGTTTTTTACAAAAATGGGACCAGGACCATGTATGGAAGAATCTCTGGTAACCACAGTGAAACCAAGTCCTTCAGGTCCTAGTATATAAGACCAGGAAAACACATGGTCACCTTCAGCAGGAGTAATATTATATTCAATTTTAGAGTTAAATCCACCTAATTTAGACCAATGCAGAATAAGTGAAATATTGACATTCTAGTAAATATTTTAAATATGCTTCAGTTTTTCTGGTTTTAAATACAGATTACAGTGCCTTACAGGCCATGATTGTATCACAGTGAATTTAGGGCCAGTGTAGATATATAACACTTTTGTTTACTAAGGTCCTAGAAGAAATACCACATGTTATCCATATACCTGGGAGACTGATTTCTCAGTAAACCATAATCTGACTTCATACTTTCCTGAGAAGCAAGAGGCCATCTGACATGTCAGGCTTTCAATCAACTAGCCAGCCTGTGGTTCCCCCTCCCCCTGAGTCTCCATTCCTTGTGTACTGCATCCCATTGCCCCATCACTCGTTCCTGTTACTCCTGTCCCGTTCTCTTGCATCTCCAGTTTCTCTCTTTGAGTTTATGTCTTTTTTCACTCTATGTGAAGGCATGCTTAGATTTCTCTACCCTAAAGAATCCTTACGTCAATCCTACTGCTTCTTCAATCTTCCATCACCAACTACCTACCCATGACCATATCCAGTCATTTTCCTATTCTGATCTTTCCCCTTTTCTAGCTTTGACACTTCTCACCAACCATTTTCTTGAAATTAACTCCCCCCTTGGTATTCATGTTTTTAGTTTCTGATTATTTTCCTGCCTCTCTGATCACAACATGTCTGTCACTCTTTCTCTTACCCATCGTTCTCCCACATAAACATAGATGTTCCCCAAGGATCTGGAACAATTTGTCCTCTAGACTTGCCTGGCATGCTCCTGTCTCCAACTACCATCTCCCTACAGATGACACTTACATCACTTTGTTTGTCTCTAATCTCTCTGGTGTCAGTCTCCAGGATATTACCATGCACGTTCTTTCACAAGCATTTTAAACTTCACTATGAACTTCCTTCTCCAGCCCAGATCCTTGCCTTTTCTACTTAAAATTCTAATTTCTCGTAATGGTATCACCATTGCACAAGCCACCCTGGCCGAAAACCTCAGCAATAACAGTAATTCCTCTCTCTTCCTGCCTACATCCAGTCAGCAATTTAGGCATACATATTATATTCAGACAGACACCGTGCACCCTTGACTGCTCCCTTGTTGTATGCTCTCTTCTTTAGTATATCTTTTTCTGTCAGATTAATCTTCCCAAAACACAGGTGTGGGATGTAATATTCTTTATTTTTGCATTCAAGGTTTTTTGGTGGATTTTTAAGGTCACATTCCATGTCTGATTTATCTGTTCTCAAAGCACTCAACCCCATGTCTTATACATAGCTGCACAATTTGTATGAAAAGCACAAGGGATGCATTTACATAAAAAGCCTAATTGTGCCTCCTATCGATACATTTTCTTCCCTGTATAGAATTCTTATAGGAGGACAAAATTTTGACCAGAGGGTTTTTCAGAATAATCTCTACATCCCAATTAAAGGTACATGTGATTTGCTTTAGATATATGTGAATAAGTATTCTAAAACTACCTTGTGATCATTACATTTCCTATTAATTCAGATAAGAATCCATAAAATCTTGGTTTCTTTTGAATGGAGTCTTGAAAATCACAGTGGGTTGCAGAGGGTTGCAGTGAGGGAAGGGATTATCAGGAGAAGTTACAAAATAAAAAAAAATGCAGAAATTCATGAATGTGTATGTGTGTATGTATAATATTGCATAAATATCTATGAACACACATGATCTAGTCTTATTGATCTGGGCTGCAAATGGATGAAAAAGTTGAAAAAGATGAAGAAAAAAGGTTATACATGCTTTTGAAATTAAGAATACTTGAAAAATTATTTGCATTGTTGAATTAGTGAAATTAATAATTACTACATATTTGCTGAGGAATAATTTTTTGCTGGTATAAAACTATCTTAGAGAACCAGAAACAATATATTGGCTTTTTGGACTTGGACTAAAGGATGCTTCAAAAATCACTAATCTTGCTTAAAACAGACAACTGAATTTCAGTGCCTGTTTAGTATTAAGTTGTGATACAAGAACACTCTGTTCCTACCAAGTTTGTACTGGTTCTTTCTATTTCATAGCAGGTCTTTATAACTTTCTTGCTTCAAATAATGTACACTCTCCAGAAAAAAGAATAAGAAAGTACTATGATTTTAAGAAATTTAAGTTACTGCAGTATACACTTAAATCTATTCTTTGATTCAATTAAATGAAGGGAGAATTAACAAAATTAGCCTTAATGCATTTCTCTTAACCAATTTTACATGTTACAATAATAGAATGCTATTAAGCATAATTTAATAATTACCTTTCTTTAGGTCAATCTTAATTTTCTTTGCATTTTTCTTGCTGCCAAACCCCATGAGCGGGGAGAGTGAGGGAGAGGATGGCTTTCTACCTAGTCTTGGTACTCGGGGGCTCTTGCCTTGCTGCAGGGAAGTTGATGCATCTTCCTCAGGACTGCTTGTTCCTGTGAGATTTACTGTCTTTATTCCTGATTTTCCATGGACAGGAGGTGGCACCTTTGTTCTCAAAACGCCATCATTGTTACCAAAAATGTTAAGAGGTCCAGTGACGGATTTTTCATACTGTTCCCGGTTTTGAGGTGGAAGCACATGAAGCAGCACACTTGGAGATTTCATTGCCTGACGGAAGACGTCCTGAGCCCTTGAAAGACAGTGAACATATAATGATACCACTTCCTAGCATGCCATCCAAAGCACCCAGCCTCACGGCTACAGGAGCATAAGCACAGGAGATACTATCACTATTACTACCAATATGACTTGGCTAACTAAATGCTAGTTACCATGTATGGCCTGCTCATTAGGTGCCACCACACTGGGCTACATGTGCATCATCAACATGCACGATTCTCTCATTTAACCTTTTTAACAACCATGTTAAGTAAGTATAATTAGCTCTCATTTTGCAAAATGAAGAAGTGGAGGCTCAGAGAGCTTAAGTAACTTGTCCAATGACCCACAGCTTCTAAGCATTTCTAAATCTGAAATTCTACCCAGAAGTATTTACTGAAGTAAATATAAAAGCAAGCTCTAATTTTAAATGGAACAAACATCTTTCATAGTCTCCATCAGATTATCATTTGGTTTCCTTTTAAGACTTTAATCTAAAGTACAGGTCTTTCCTAATGTGGGTTGTGTTGCAGAAGCCCAATTCTGACACAAACATTTCCTCACGGAGACGTTTGGTAGGTACGTAGGCTGTGTCAAATATCACAGTGGATTGGCAATCCAAAATACACCCTCCCTGTTATTCTGTTATAGAGTCCCTAATGTTTTTACTTTTTTGTCTTAGCGCTTTGTGCTTTTCCTCAAATTTCCTACTACTTTTTCTTTCCTTCTTCCTTATGTCTCCTTGTACCTTATGACTAGGTAAAACAACTCTCTTTCCCAGCTTTCTTGCCAATGAGATGAAAGGTTAGAGAAAATCTGGCTCATCTGGGAGGCAGAAACTTTTTTGTTCTACTGTTTCTCTTTCCTACTTCTTAAAACTCAGAAGTGATGGAGGGAACTCCAGCAGCCATCTTGTGACCATGAGACAGCTTCAAGATAGCATCCGCATAAGAAGGATGGCAAAGCAGAAAGATGGAGGATGCCTGACTCACTGCTGATGGTGGACCCTCCATTCCAACTCTGGACTGCCATCTCCACACTTATTTGTCCTTAGAAAAGGTAAATTTTGTTTAAGCTACCTTTATTTCAGGTTTCTGTTATAAGCAGCCACACCAAATAATAATTAATCATAATTCCAACTGCTATCTGAGCTCCCCCTCACTTTATTCACGAAGAGCTTACAATGTTAGGGGAGGAGGGAGAAGACTTCACATAGATAGCCCAACTCCTCTGGTCGGCTCCTTGACTAGGAGTCAATTTCTACTCTACATTGAATTTTTATAAGCCTTGATTTCTACCTCTATAATATAGGGAGAATAATGTCTGCCTTGCATTCCTATTAAGTCCTGGTAACAAGCACAGTGATATATAAAAATAATATCATTACTGATAATACTTATAATTTTGCATATTATTCATTATTTTTAGAAATACACTCTTAAGGCTTCATTTTCTTCCACACTTAAGCAGCTACAGCACTGCCCTCCACCCAACACAATATTGGCAACTAATGGTCACAGAGAAGATATATTATGAGTTGTTTTGGTTGAAACAAGAGAGGTTGGTGATCATTACTAAAGAGTATTCGTGATTATTCCCTTGTTCCACTGTAATGCCAATATACATATAAAAAAGCATATGCAGACTGCTGCATACTTTAATTCTTAGGTACAAAGACCTATTCCTGTAACATTTTCACATGCAGAGAAATAATTTCTTGAGGGAGAGTATTTTAACTTTTTTTTTTTTTTTTTTTGCGCTACGTGGGCCTCTCACTGCTGTGGGCCTCTCCCGTTGCGGAGCACAGGCTCCGGATGTGCAGGCTCAGCGGCCATGGTTCACGGGCCCAGCCGCTCCGTGGCATGTGGGATCTTCCCAGACCGGGGCACGAACCCGTGTCCCATGCATCGGCAGGCGGACTCTCAACTACTGCGCCACCAGGGAAGCCCTATTTTAACTTTTTTTTTTTTTCCACTTGTTTCTATTATTCAGTGAGTCTTCACAGTCATCTCTCACAGATATTTAGTTTAAGGAAGACTACTGACACCAAGTAAGTTAATTAATAAGCCGAACTAATAGTCTGTGAAGAGTTCTTAAATACCAGTCTAACTGACCTGTATCCCAAGAAAAACAAACCCATCTATCGATGCCCCAGAAAGACAGCCAGGCAGAAGGTTTGCTCTGTTCTGCAGTTTGTCCTTCTCAGGGCTGTCAGGGACATTGGCAGCCCACCTCTGAGTACGCTAAAACACAGGACATACTTGAAAATAGATCTTCTGGGGTCAAAGGGAACTTATCAGAAGTTCTACCTACATTTTTGATCATAATGAGCTCAGTAATGATCATAAGCATTCTAGGAATCAATAAAGTAAATAAAACAATAAAAAACATGCTTACTGAGCAAAGGTTTTGTCTACGAGGTCCACGCTGTTGATTTTTACAATACATTCGTTTTCGTGAAACAGTCCTTCCCGCTTAGACCTGCTGTTTTCCTCAATGCCACGGATGAAGAGCCCTAGAATCCTAAAGGCAACATTTCGGTTGAAAGAGAATGACTGAATAACCTGGAGTTGTTTCTCCATTTGTAACCGTTCAGAAATAAGCATTGGTTTCTATTTATGAAAGGACGTATGCTTTATATTCGGGCAACTGTTATTTAAATCCTTAGTAAACAAACAAACAAAAAAACACACTCGCACACATGACTCACTAAGGAGAAGCAGCTCTTCAAGACACATATACGTAAACACCAGCCCAGAGCACAATGACCTACAATCCCGTTTCTCATGCTTGTAGGTAACTTAGAAAGGGCTAGGGTTGCTCAGTAGAGTTCAGGACACAGAGGACTCGTGGTTTCGAGAGGGATTCACAGAAGGGCTGACTGTAATAAGTAAGTTCGAGTTGGTGCCCAGGGGGCAGCTCGATGTTTGATAATGGGAGAGGATTAGGTATTCACAGTAGTTTTTTTGCAGTCTTCCCACCTCTTCCAATAATATGCATTTGAAGAAGTAAATGTTTAGCAGAAATCATATTACTGAGTTTAGAAGGAAGTTCGGTCCCATTTGTTAGTGCCACTGAATCAAGTGTGTGTTGAGTGTTCTCTGCACTTCGGATGGAAGAATATGAGACAGGGCTGTAGGACCAGGACAATGGCTCAGCACAGGCTTGGAGTACAGGAGTAATGAAAAACCTGGAGCTATAAGCCTAGAGTCTTCATAGAAGGATTTGGGAAGAAAGTGGGATGTAAACTGGATCAGAAGAATGAGTGGGATTTGGATAGGAGGAGAGAGAGAATACACACAGAGGCAGGAACGAACAGGTGTGTGTAAGGGGAGCAGGGTGGAAGCTCACACTGGATGTGGAGGCCAGTGCCACGTGAAGGGGCCTTGAACACCAGCTGATGGACGGATGTGATGAGACTGGAGTAATAGTCATGCCACTCACTGCTTCTGAGCGAGACGGTGACCAGATGAAATCAGGGCTTTGGGAAGAGGTGTCTGAAATTTCAACCAGGAAGAGTCTGGATTCAGAGAGGATCCCCTGAACCTCCCGGTGCTTTGCGGCTGTGGCTTAGAGTCAGGAGGGGATGGGGTTGGAGAAAAAGAAAAGGAGAAAGAAAGCTACAGCAATGAAAAGAATTTAACTGTGTGTGTATGCACTTGCACGCACCTATTACATATTGGTAGTATTTGAACTGAAAACTAAAAGAAATCAAACTTGTGTATACTTTAGCCATTTCTCATGTGAGGGATTTCCCTGTTCCTTGCGGCATGTCAGGGTCCCAGGTGTCTCAGGATAAAACAGACAGATACGTCCTCCAAGAGGAGTCTGCTAGATGTGGAGAAACCACCACCTCCTCTTCCCTCATCCTCTTGTTTTCCTACTTTGTCACCCTCTTTCATATAGGGGCCTTAGGTGCTATTATGTAGTCCCTTTGCATTAAGTCTCGAATCTAAATAAAACATGAGCACATTTTATGCACGCATAATAGCGTCCGCCATTAAAAAGGGGAGTCTCTAATGAAAGTGGAAGAGAAAACCATCTTCCTGTTCGGAGCTGCCACAAAGTGGGACCTCGGCCTCCAGGGCCTCAGTTCATCTGATGAGCTCACGTCATCTCAAGACAGCCGGAGGAGAGGCACATGCAGGGCTATTTAGATCTCTACTTTAAATAAGTTAAATGAACACAGTACGCTGACGTAGGAGAGAGCAGAGCAAATAGTTTTGTCGCCTACTGTGGGGGAAAGCTCAGGGTCACAGGCCAAGTGTGCAGTGACGCTTCATTTCCTAGTTCTAGTAGGTGAGTAAATTTAGCATCTTCTGGGTGGAAGAGAATAAGGGCCAAAGCTACTATTTGATAAAAGATCTGAGATTTAAATTAATATATTTAAAGTACTAATCCCACCTTAATCTCATAATATAATATTAAAAATTGAACTATTTGACATGTCAACAAAAAAAAAAAAGGAAAGAAATAGAATAAAATACTGTTTCTCTCCTAAACTGAACAACTCTCTAATAGTTCACATTTTGGATTTTTGTTATGGTGGATTCACAGTAACACGACCCATTAGGAGGCTCACATGTGGTTATAAACTAGTTTATATAAGCGATATTTTTTTAACAAGCATTCAAGTCTTCCTTTAATTTAATTCAGTACATCATCAGTCATGTAATGTTACTCCCTAGGATTTAATTTCACATTTTGGGAGATGAATTAATTCTTTCAGGCCACTGGGTTGCAATTTAGCTGGTATATTACAGCTGGAGTATGCTATGTGAACCTCACTCAACTAAATAACCTAACTTTCCATGAAAAATTTATTGACAGAATAAGCCCAACTGTAAAACCCATGTGTCAGAGGTAATTTTGGTAAAATGTAAAACTAACTGATTTTATTAGTTTGTTCCCTGGCAACAAACCACTCCTGCCTTCTTTATTCTATGGAAGGGATGGATTCCTTCCAGTTTGATTTCATCCAGACCAGTATGAGAAGGCTCAGAAAAGAGTCCCTCTTTGTTCTCTTTGCCCCAAATGGGTGAGCTGTGGATAGCTATCTCGTTTGGGACCAAGGCTCGCAGGATTTAAAAATTAATGCCGTCGATGAGTTATAGGCCGAGGTGAACCAGTTAATTTGCATTAAGAAGCGGTGATAAAGGAGGCCGAAACCCACAGCCCCGCAGAGTAAGAGGGGTAACAATTGCTTCTTGCCCTTCTAATGATCATTTAGGCACAAACCTATGCCCTGCTGGCCTCCTCCTTTCTTCCCACTGTATCACACTGCCTAGGCCGCTCACCCGCTTAGAATTTTTACCTAAACATCTCCTCTGCTCACATTATATATCACTCTTCACCCATCCCTCCTTTCCTTCTGCCTCATATTCAGCTGTCTTTACTATGAAACAGGTATATTATGCTATCTTTATTTACTGACAATTAGATTTTATGCTTTAATTCTAAAATAAAACTATATTTTTTTTTGAAAAAAATGAATGAAATTAAGTTGCTTTTTACTTTCAGGGACTCTTGTTTTGTTTTCTTTCTTCTTGCATTTTTGTTTTTATTGCGCGAGCCAATAGTCCTCTGTACAAGCAGCATTCTCCACCCCAATGAAACCACTGAGGCCTTATTTAGTGCAGCAGCCAGTGTGTTGTACTCGGGGTGTTCTAACTTTGATTAGGGATCTTAATTCTACAACAGGTGTGGCCCTATTTTTGTAAAAGAAAAAAATTAAAAAGAAATTGAAGGCAGAGTGAATTACAGTAGTCTTAGTAAATAATTAAATGTAAACTCTAATTTAAAATAATGACACAAACCAATAAATGGAAGGAAATGAAGAACTAAGTCTACCACTATGACCTTAACTACCCCCATCCCCCATGCTCACACAGGGCAACCATATGGCATAATGAAGTCAGACACTTGTCTGACACACTCTGTATGCAGTTGCTTCTAGACACATGGGTTGAGTTAAGTGTGCTGTTTCAGCCTGTACTCATTACTTCTTAACTTTTATTGGCTCATGTCTCCACTTCCATATTATTTTTTATGTTTTTTAATTAAATTTCCTTCCTATAATACCAGTGGATAGCAAAAAATACACACACACACACACAGAAAACTATTTCACCAATTTACTGAATAGTTGACCATGAACTTATAAAAGTTCATTTCTAAACAAAGTTTTTCTGTTTTAGCCAAAATAATATTAATCCTAATAATTTACACATTTGTATGTTGTGTGTTTCACAAGGAGCATTCACATTTTTAATGTGGTTTAATCCCCACAACCTTGATGTGAAATAGGTATTCACAAGAGGCAAATTTAGGGGACTCACTCAAGGTTATACAAAAGAGAACAGTGAGATTCAAGTCCAATTGTTCCAAATCCGAGTCCAATACTTTTTCCTATTCTATAAAGCTTATGCTAGAAATCAGAACTAGGAAGGATCAGGGGGTAAATCAATGCATTCTAGTGTGTTTTCCTCATTTGAAGTGAGAGAAGGTGATTTTTGGTCTATAGCGTCAACTTGTTTTCTGAACAACTGAAAATGATGTAGGGTGACTGTCATGTTGTATATTTCTTCACGTTTTGAAAATTGGGATGATCTTGTGGTCTATTCCAGCTTCATTAAGCTAAAGGGCCTAGTAATTTAGCCACACTGGTATTTCACAAAGCTCTACCAGTACACTTCTGACAAAAGCCATTAGAATTCCTCATGACAACTGGGTAAATACTCTCCCTGTCTATCAAAAACAACCTCAGCTTGTCCTGTGCCATAACCCATAACATTTATAAACATGCTTATTAACACATACAGGAAATGAGACAATAAGAGCCACTAGCTTTTCAGTTCATTTCTTTTTAGGAGACATTCATTCCAGCAAGAGCTTGGCATCAGATGTTATTTGCTAAGAAGGTGATGACTTAGCAATTACAGGTAGCAGATGGCTACCTACTGAAAATGATGCCAACCAAAATATCATGACTAAATCTGTTCTTCCTGCTGTATGGCAGACCAAATTGAATAAATATTCAGAACCAGTAAATAAATACTATATAAGCTTTGGGGAAAGTTTTGTTATAGAAAGAGCAAAGAGTGAGGTCAAGATATCTGGATTTTGTATGACCTTGAGAAAAATCCACTGACTTTTCTGGTCTTTGATCACCTAAGCTAAAATCAGGTAGTTTGCCTTTTCAATGATATATTTAATTTAAGAAAATAAATTCAGCAAATTAATTAAAATCATATCATATGGGTGAGAAATTCATTTTCTTTAAGTTTCTGACAGCCTTTGTCAGTGTCAATCTAGTGCAAAAGGTAGTCATCCTATTGAAAAGTATTATAATAACATAATATCTAATACTAGTTTTGTAAGGTTGTTATAATAGTGCTAACATTAACTCTCAGGCACACACTTTAATTCCCATCAGTAAAACAAGTTTTACAGCCAGTTAAGTAGACACAAATTTCAAGAGATGGTGATGCAATCTAAATTACCATTTACCAGCATGGATTTAGAAATATAATGTCTTTAAAATTTCAAAAGGATGCGATAAATTATTTTTAATTGGTTATATTTTATTTTAGAACAAAATAAATAGAATAATGGCATTTTGCTACTATATGTAAAATCAAAACATATTTAGCTTCTGATATAACTACTTATAATATTAGAATATTTATTATCCTAAGTTCTGTAAACCTGAGGCATATCAAGAAATATCCATTTGGAATTACTATATTTCATTTAAGTGTATTTTTGAACATTAAAAAATTCAGTTGCTATATTTCTGTGACAATATGTTAAAGTCTTTCCACAATTTCTGTCTATGTGTCACCGATAAGAATACTTTAATAAAGTACTTCTTAATTAACTGTAAATGCAGAAGCCATGATTTCTTTTCCATCGTATCCTAGAAGTGATGTTATTTTGTTTCTAACACATAAGTGGCCAACAGAAGTATACCTTGAGGTGTCTATCTAAATAACAGAGACATACACTTAATCCTCTTCTAAAAAATGTTTGGGAAAATGAGCTCAAGTCAAGTTTTTCATTAGTATGAGCTTCTGATATAAGGAAAACATCTTACCTTCCACTCAGAGATGAAAAGAAAGGTACTACATGTATTCCCAAGGGGCCTCCTTCCCCAGAAATCTCCACTGTTCTTGTCATATTACTGGGACAGAAAAAAAAAAAAAAAAAAAAAAGAGCACAAATGAGTCCCTGCTAAAAAAACAAAAACAAAAATAATCAGATGTGGCATATTAAAAAGAAAAACAAAACAAACTTAGGATTATAGCAACTACTGTAAATTCAACAGCAGAGATGAAATCAAAGGAGTACATGATTTGCTGGTATGTTCAGAAGACCCAGGAAATAAAATGTTTAAAAGACTATCTGATTTCTTATTTTTTTCCTAGAAGAGGAAAAAATGGAAATGACTATGTACAAAAATAACTTCCTACTTAACTTAATCTGCATAAATCAACATATTTAAAAAGGATGTACACAAAAATGAAATTTCTCCCCATTGAGACACACTTGAAAATTACTGAATAGATGATAAAATACATTGAATTAAGCATATCTATGCTTAAAACATAAAGGAGGATTTTTCCTCCAGAACAGAGGAAAAATGAAATAAAACACATTTTTATTAGAAAAAGCACATAATTACATTTTAAACAACTGTGAAGCCAAAGTTGGTAATACATATGGGCATGTTCAAAGCATTATAAATCAAAACTAAAACTTGCCTTTCAATAAGGCATCAGTTGTATTCAATGAAACAATTCCAAATTTTCACCTCTCAGTTTTTTTTTTTTTTTTTTAAGACGTAGGAAAAGAAGTTGAAAAGCCTGGAGAAAATGTATTACAGAAAGAAATGGAAAGCCTGACCTGTCTAACCTACTCCAGATTAAGGAAAGGATGAGCTAGAAACATTAATGGATAGTGTGTATGACTGAAATATACAAGGCACTGGGAGCTTTGGAGTAAAGGAAAGTGGAACTAACAAGTTTTTATAAAGATGAAAAATAATACCATGAACAATTATTGGCTCCTTTAATCCCAGAGAGAGAAAATAAAATTGTCAGAGGAAAAATGATAAAGTTGAAGCAAACATCTCCATTATGGAAACTGTAGGCAGGTCTCTATTGTTTCCTATTTACATGAAAACGACCTGAAACTAGATGTCAAATTAAGAGCTACAGCTGCTACAAATACATTTCTGCTCCAAATTGAAAATGGGAAAATTTTGGCTCCTTGCTGGAAAGTTGAGAACAGCATTAAGAAAGCAAAATGCCTAATGAATTCACTCTGCATGAAGTACTCCCTAAATTATCAGCAATCTAAAATAAATATATTAAATATATTCTCATCAGTGGATTAGGCTTATTTTTAATGTGTTTTCATTGCAAACCTATTATCATTAAGAACTGCAAAAAAGAGCATGTTAGTTTCCAACATTTATGGAAAGGGATGGAATTTCAAAACTGATAGTAAATTTCGAGTTTTGCTCAGATACTGCTGATATATTTAAACTTTGTTCAGTCAAGCAGGTTATATCAGAAGCCTGGAATAAAAGTTAGAAATAAAATAAATCTTAGAGTGCTAAGATCAAGGAATTAAGTAGATTCTTCTCTATACTTTCTGTGCAAGCATAGGCACTATATGAATATAGGCATATGAAATCCTAAATATAGGTATGCATTTTAAGTCCTGAATATAAAATATTTGGTGGGAAGAGAAAGTTGTGTAGCTTTCAATGGACCGCAAAGAAATAACTTTTACATAACAGATTTATAGTGCATTCGTAGGTATTTGAGGAAGACTAAACCCAAAGCATACACATTCTAGGGTTATGATATTATTGTAAAGACTTCTAAAAACAGAGGTGAAAATTTTGTTTAACCACTGAAACTTTATTATCTCTACCTTTATAACATAATTTTACAGTTTTACACTTAGAGCATAACACAAATCTTTCCTAATAAATGTATTAAATCTCCACATGCTGAGAGCATTCATATGTATTATCTAGATGCTTTTGGAACATAAGTGTTTAGTCTAGACAACAAGATTTCAGCTTAAAAAAATTTTAGAATGGCTTTATGGATTCTTTTTTCTAGTTTGCAAGTATTTCTTTATTCCACTCAAAACCTCTCCTGTAAAACATAATAAATTCTATGTAAATTCTATGTATCATACTGACACCTACTCTTTAGTAATCATCAAACTTGTATTTTTACATTTACTTAAAAGTAAATCACAAAATTTCTTAAAGTAATCAGTCTTATTTCAAAACACTAAAACTTTGTTGGAGGATGCAGTATTAAGGTCTATTTCAACTTTATAAGATTCCCTTTTTCAGTATTTCAGAATAAACTTTTATGCTATCTTTATATGATAGTTACTATTTTTTGGCTAGAATGATATTTGACAAATGTTAAATTACTATCACAAAAATATTACTATCCCAGAAAAAGCAGCATAAAAGACTTTCAATTTTGTTGACTGTTAAATGCAGATACTTAGAGAATTAGATCTAAAGACAAGCATTACAAGTTTTACACAGACTATGTTTTACCATGCTCTTTATAAACTGTTATCCATTATTTGTTTCAAGATGGAAAGAAAAGCATTTGAAAAAGGAAACTCACAGACCAGTCCATCTTTTTAAATTTAGTTTAAAAGGGGAAAAAACCACTCAGTGTTTTACACACTTGATGGAGTTCTGTGGAAATCCCTGTATATATACCCTCATGGAAGATAAACATAGCAAGGAGGGCTAGACACAATTACTTGAATACACATCTCATAAAATGAGATTTCACTAAGATGTGAAAATATGCTATTAATGTTATTTGTTTAGGCAAACAGCACAGTAGAGTTCAAGGACTGGTGAGCAGGGTATGCACATTTATGTTTTGGAGGCAGACTGAGAATGGAAAATGTAGAGAATGAGGTGAGAAGGCTATTCTAGAAGTGGAAAGAAAAAGGGATCGGCAGCTACTTGTGAAAAACAGATAAAAAATGAATTGCGGGGCAAAGGAAAAGTATTTCACTTACAAAAAGAAAAGTCGGAAGATTTCACTAAGCTCAAAATAGCTAATTCAACTTTCTAAGACGTACTAAAACAAAAGCAGATAGTCACCAAGCATTAGGTCCAATAGTATTAAGCAAGCTACATGTTCTAAGCTCCGACTGACAAAATTGATTCAAATATCACTAGAACCAGCTGCTACCTACCTAAGACTTTAATACAAAACTATGGGTGAAAGTACAGAATCAGTGGTTTAAAATGAGCCTGTTGTGAACGGCTATGGCAAGAACTACATGGAAAGTGCTTCATTTGGTTCCTTCCAGCAGAAAGACATGAAGCTTGAGGGAGAGAAGGGGCTGCAGACGGATGGTTGTAGGTCTGATTTCTCCACACAAGGCAAATGCACAGCATCTTTAAGATTAGTCAACCCAGTGATTGGCCACTAGTTTAGGGTACAGAAGAGACAGGTCTGAGGGCAGGGAAGAGGAGATACTTTGTTTCAGGAGGAAATAATGATTAACTTATGAAATTAGAGAGAAGTGTATCCTAGTGGTGGCTCTGAGTCAGGTGCCTAAGTAAATCATTTAAACTAAGACCACAAGTAAGTTTCCTCATTTGGACAACGAGGGAATTAAGATAAATTCCTAATAGAGCTGCTGGTTTTAAAGAAAAAAATAGAGAATATTATATAAATACAGCAAACACACAGTCTCTGGAATATACGGAGGACTCAATATCAGCTGTTAGTATTATTATTAGAACTTTCTGAAGGAACAAAGAAGCTTACGGGTTAAAAGGCAATAACCTATTTCAAACTTTCCAAATTTTCCTCAACTTGATTTCCTCAGTAAGAGTTTTTTTTTTTTCTTAATCTGTAAATACTGTAGGATTTTCTTCATAATTAGACTGCTGATAGAGAACACAGTGGGTAATAATGAGTGGAGAGAAGTTACTGGCGGGTGTTCTTTGGGGACTGATGTCCAAGACTGTCATATACAGCAATGTAAGAGATGGACCACAGAGAGAGACCTCCAAGAAGAGCTTGCTGATGACGCCAGAGGCTACTTGACAGTGAAATGTCTTGGGTTTTTTCCCCCAGTTTTATTGAGATATAATCAACAGCACTGTATACGTTTAAGGTACACAGCATAATGATTTGACTTACATAAATAATGAAATGATTATCTCAGTAAGTTTACTGAGCATCCATCATCTCATATAAATACTAAATTAAAGAAATAGAAAAAAATTTTTTCTTGTGATGAGAATGCTTAGCATTTACTCTTTTAACAACTTCTGAAATGTCTTGTTGATATGATTATACTGAGTAAAAATCTAACAAAGAATTTCTTGTCAAAGGTGGTGGGATTCACTTAATGCAATTAATCGAGTAGTTCCAATGAAGAAGCTCTGCAAGGAAAAAACAAAGTCTAATGCTTGAGGAGTTCATAATCAGCAGGCAGATTAGGACAGGTAACAAAAAATAATACAAAGGAATAGAACAGTAGTAGTACTTGCAGTATGTTCTCAATGAATGTACGCTATCTGGGGGGAGGCAGCATGTTAATCATCTTCTGGGTATTATATAACATGTACTCACATCAAAAGTACAAAGTAAACATATCACTTCCATTACAGATAAGTAAACCGATGCTTAGAGAGGTTAAATAATCTGTCCAACATCACACCATTTATATACGGTAAATTCAGGACACAAATTGGAATTTACTGCTTCTCAGAGCAGTAGTTTTCAACCATTTTGACATGTAAGTTTCAAAGCAGAGGTGCTTTCTGATGAGGTTCAGAGAAAAGGGAACAGGATCAGGAAGGAAAGCTGGAAATCAGGAAAATCTTCTCAAAGGAAGTCAAATTTTAGATGGAACTGAGAGGGGTAAATGAATCTTCAACCAGAAAAGCTGGTGAGGGCGTGGAGAGATCATGCACAGGAGAGGAAACAGTTTGCACTGAGACACTGAATCAGGATGGTCTGCGGACACACGGATTGTCTGTGAAACTAAAGAGAGAAGGAGGAGAGGGGAGGAGGGGGGAGGAAGGGAGGAGAACAGAGGGTAAGATAATGAGGAGATAAGGCTGTCCCATCAGCTTCAGATCAAACTTCAGTGTGATATGTC